TGGACATAAAAATCATAAAATTTCAAAAACAAAGTGGAAAAAAAATTCAAGTGAAAATGGTATTTGAAAATTAGAGTTGTGTTTGGACATGAATATAATTTTGGGTCTTTTTTGAAGTTTTGTGGGTGATCTGACTGAAAATTATGAAAAATAATTTTTTGGAGTTTTTAAAATTTTCAAAAAATTCCAAAAGTCATTTTCAAGTGAAAATTAAAATTTTTATGGCCAAACACTAATTTTAAAAAAAGTGAAAAGTTTTCGAAAAGAAATAAAAAAATTCTTATGTCCAAAAGGGCTCTTAATGTAGCAGAACGTTTTCTTTTTGTGGACCCCGCCTAAATTCAACCAAAATGTGATTATTAGCATCATAAACAAAACTCACCTTCTTTAGGCGATAGTCTATCGGAAACAGTTTCTCTGTCCTTCCAAAATAGGAGTAAGACTGCGTATATCATACCCTCCATAAATTCTACTTGTGAAATTATACTGGGTGGTTGTTGTTATTGGTGTAGCATCATAAACAAAACTATGAAAATTGAGATATGCACAAACGAAAAATATCATGGGTTGTTTAAAAAGAAAACTTATTTATTATGCGGAAGACATGTATTGAAGAATAAAAAATAAAAAATAAAAAAAAAGAATCGACCGTTCAAGTATTTTAAATTTAATGGCAAAATGGCAGGAAAGAGACATATAAAGCCTGTTTGGATTGGCTTAAAAGCTGGTCATTTTTAGATGTTGGGAGTGTTTGGTAAAAAAGAAAATAGCTTAAAAAAAGTTAAAACCGACTTAAAAAAAAGCCAAAAGCCACAAGTTGGCTATCTTTGACCAAGTATTTTACCCTCTTATCCCTAATAATATTTATTATTCCAAAAATGTCCTTCACAAATTTTTTTGAAATAATTATAATATCCAACTCAAACTTTTAAAATTTGTTAGAACGTGAACTTACTTTGAAGTTTAGCTTTGCTTTGAAAGGTGAATACGACATTTACCTAATGAAGTTTTCTTACTAAATAATTAAAACATGAAATAGGAAATAGTACTCCTAACTTAAAAGGAAGGAAAAATAGTCCTAAATATTAATATAAAAATGATTAAATATTTATTAGAATGTGATAGTCATTTCATATGTTTTCCCAGTAAGCTTGGAATTTCAAGAAATAAATAAAAAATTTACATGGTTGAAAGAAGTGAAAAATAAGAGTTCAACAATTATATTTATAAAAATTATCTTAGGTGATCATTTCAAATATTAATTATTTCGTATTTATATCAATAAGTTTAAAATAAAATATTATAGTAATAAGCTTTTTATAGTATTAACAGATTTAAAGATATTTCAGTCATTTTAATAGAAAAAGTGCTTACCAGCACTTGTTCACCAAACATTTCAACAGTTTTTTTTCAGCTCCAGCACTTTTATCCAAACGCATAAATGCTTATTTATAAAACCAGCTCCAGCACTTAAAAAGTGCTTTTAAGCACTTGTGCTTAAAAGCTACTTTTTAAGCCAATCCAAACGGGCTCATAGTCACGAGTTTTTCAATCTACTTATTTATTTAGCAAATAATTAACAATTCTTTTTATCAATATGTATGGACTTGGATTATCAATAATAATTTTTTTAGACTTCGGATACTTGATCGATCCACTCACTTTTTTTCGTTCATTCTTATAAGTCAATAAAGTACCAGGATTAAATAAAGTACACTACTAGTATAAAGTTTTTTATACTGTTATATGTCAAATCCTTTAAACTTCTCATTTTATCCTTAACAAGAAGTTTTTATATCTATAAATATATAATGGTACTATAAATTTCAAAAGTGTTAAATATAATGGCATATTTATGATTACAATTTTCAAAAATTCTTCCATATCTTTCTTAAACTCCATGCTGGCTCAAAATTATATCAAATGAATTAGAATAGAACAAGTAGTAAAATTTTAAATTATACCGATTATTTAAAAATTTATTTACACTGTCTACTAATATAAGATAATTAAATCCAAAAATAAATTAGTACTATTACTTGACATTTTGGAGCCAAAAATTTATCCAAAATATTTTATGACAGCATTTTATATAAGCCAAATCCTCAACCACATTTTTGTTCTCTAGCAATTTTATCCACAGAATTCATCAAAAAAACAAGAAGGAATTAAGTAAAACATTAAAAAAGAGGAAATTTAATTTCTGTGTACCGACGATGTAAAAATTGTTAAACTATCAAGTCATGCTTAAGGTGACTTTTTATAATATATCTAATATACTACTTAGGTAAGCTTTCCAAATTAATAATTTATATATATTCAATGAAATTTTAAAGATGAATACAGGATTTGGACTAAAGTTACGGGGTTCGAAAAATATCCCGTTTTGCTTTTGCAATTAGATTCTTTTGTTTCATTCCTATTCTCCTTTCTCAAAAAAAAAAAGGGCCAAACCCACAGGTCCTATATTAGCTCCGCCTTTGGCCGGGGTGGCAGTGGG